TCATAAAATGTAAAAGCAGCTACTATTTAATAGTTTAGATTCTATATTCATATTTTTATGCAAACTATAAAAACTTTTTCATTATTCATTAGTTTATGTCTGAATAAACTTCATATTTTTTTCAAAAATGCTTCATTAAACATGAAAGAATTTTCTTTTTATAAAACATAACTGCTTTTTCAGTTCAAGCAAGAATTCACTTTAATATTATTTACTTACAGTTTAAATAAAAATATAAAACATATTAAATCAGGATATTATTTCAGACTGTACAATAGTAAAACCTTTAAAAATTTCAAAAAAGATTATTATTTTAGATACAGAATTATTATAACAGGAAATAAGGATCAATTGCTTTAAAAAAAAAAAAAAAACAAGAGATTATATCATCAACAAAAGATTTTGTATTTTTAAAGGTCATCTGATCAGAATATAAATGAAGTTTATTTCCTGAATAAAAGAACTTGCAACAATACCAACATAAATCCACAATAATAAGGAAACACAGAATTATATAATTTTATGAAAAAACTTTGTTAAATAAACTTTTGAAGAAATGCCATCATTTTACATAACAATAGAACTTAATTAAACTGGACCAGAAATCATTATCAAAAATCCATAAAGATTGAAAAATTTGTATACTGCTATAGAAATAAATGTTTTGTAATTATAAAATGATTATAAAACATATATACTATATAGAATTCAGGAATATATTAAAAGCATATTAACAATTACTGATAATATTTAGTGCATAAATTACCATTTAATAAAAATTCAGATGCAAAATATTCTTTGCTTAATACCATGATATATTAAGAGACATTTCAACATCAATTAATTAACCTAGCATTTCAACATTGTAATGTTATTTTTTTTTACTCTCTTTGTCTTGTGGGCACTAAGAGATCCCTTTAATTATGCCCATCATGAGTCTGCCAGGCCCACAATGGGAGAGGTTAACTGGGGAAAAACAGGCCTAACATATCCAAGACAGACTATTCACAAGAAATTCCTGGAGCTATTTGCCCAAATGCAATTCCAAGGTGCTAGAGTGGTAGGCTGAAGCTGTAACTATACAGTAGATCCCCCTATAAAACCGTTTCCTATAGTTATGATTCCTATAAAAATTGTGGCATTATCCGTAAACAACGGTAAAAATAACTCCTATAATACGTAAAACGTCATCGGGCAGCCGAACTACTTACCCGCCGTCCGTAGCGCCACGCTACGGAGAGATTTCTATCGTCTGGACAGTATTATATAAANATGATTTTAAAATCCTTAAGTAAATTATCAAAAAATTTGTAGTTAAATCAGGAAAACAGGAATAAAATAAGCTTATGTACTTAAACTCACACATTAAATTTATGTATAATACCACATTTTATTTTTGCTTCTAATATAGTTTAAACAATTATTTAAAAAAGTTAAAATTTTAAAAGGTCGTGTTAACGAGAAAATATCTTCATTGCCTACAATCGAAGTTTATTAAATCCAAAGTATCATAAAATTGTATACTTAAAAACAAATAGAAGTAGAAAAAGATTATGATAAAAATGATATCATTTAAAAGAATTTACAGATTAAACAATTGGATTCTGTCGTTTATATTTTGATGCGATATATTTTTCAAAATTGATCCATACAACATAATCAAAACCTTTTATTGGACACAATAAACAGTTTTGATGTCAGGTAGATATTTTTTATAAACTGATTAAATGAGTTTGTTCAATCATTTTCAGCAAAGTAGTAAAAGTCTTTAATTTGGCAAATTCAAGCCTTTGATATCATTATCTATGATCAGTTTCCAAAGACATTATCTTATCAAGCATATACATTAACAGAATCATATACTTTGAAATAATTTATTTATGAAACAAAATCTATCAAATACATCACTTTAATTATCATACTCTTCTTTTTTCTAAGAAATCATATTAAATGAACCAAAAATGAAATTTACAACATATTAAGTATATTTACCCTTTAATAAGAGAGTAAATTTTAAAAATTTGTATAAATTTGTTCTTAAAACATAACAAAACGAATAAATGCCATACATTTTTTTGTATTTTTTTTTAACCGACGAGAAAAACTGCGGGAAAAATAATGAATATATTTCGCGGGAAAAAAGTGAAATTGAACGATTTTCATTAATGATATTTTTAAATTTCTGTATATTGGCCTCAGTTTACGCTAAGAAAATTGAATTTATACGTTGTAATACAAAAGATAATATTAAATATTAACCCGTTATCATCTGTGATTTTTAATTCATTTTTATAAGAGAAGTAACGGAATTAAAAGTCGTTTAAAAATAAAATCACGGCTACAAGACATAAAAAAATAACTGTAATATATTAAAAAAAAGTTCATTTTTAACAAGTAAAATCATTAAAATAACTTACCGATATCAATTAAAAGATTAAACTGTCCTTTTAAAAAAGGAAAAAAAATAGCATCCTCTCCTACACGGACACATCGACGTTAGCGATTACGACGCCACTTTTGCTTTTCTATGAAACTCCTATTTACTTTTCCTGTTTAATTTTATAACAAATAAAATATTAATGGGGTTATAAAAGTGAATACGACATTGTATTTGTTTAAATCGCGTGATCTATTTTTCACGCTCCACGAATCTCTGTGTATATAATACAGATAGAATCTCTTAATTATTTAAGATTTCCTGAGAATCCGAATCATTGTCAAAAATTCTGAGAATTTACAGTACATTCATCGTTGTATCTTTTCCTAAATCTTAATTATACATTTTTATGTGTTTATACGTGTATATTATAAATAATAGAAAATCCTCATTTTGATAAATCTTGATAACATGAGAATTTATGCGGAGACTTCGGATGTCATCGGTGCAAAGGAAACTCTCACAATGATGTGTCATGTGAGTTTCCTTTGCACTGATTATAAAATTGTTTATCGGTTCCGCGAGTAAATTTTAGGATGAGAACGGAACTTTATGTTTAGTTCAAGCTGCATTTATCCATTCAAGTCTACAGATCTAATTGATCAATCCATTCTTTGAATATTTCCAATCATAAGGAAATCGTTGACGATCTTAATACCTAAATAAGAGCCAGTTTCCGGGAGGATTTTCTATGGGAAACTGGCAATGCAGCATATGGGCAATCTACCAAAGGGAGCGTCCTTTGATATGCTGCATTGCCTTACCCCATTACAATCTAATTTAGACAGAAGGACCGTCGAGAAGGGAGTGAGGATATTTCTCCGAACCCAGAGATAACCCATAATGGTTCTTACTCCTATAAAATTAATGTTATTTTTACTAACAAGATACTAAAATCTTTAACATTGCTTTTTATTAATAAAGAACTGAGGTCTATCTCGAAAAATTCCTGGGAATTTTCCTACCCGTCCGGATTCGAACCGGGGTCCCAGAGCGGTGGTTGCCACCTTCACCGCTCGGCCATCCGGCCGTCGGAATCCTTACACTTACCAGCCACAGAAAGGCGATCCTTTCGCCTGCTGGGCAAGAGAGATGCGGGCACGGACAAGTAATCTTTATATTCTCTCGGCGTCAATTGCTTTTTTTCTTGTGTTTCGTTTCCCTTTTGGTGCCCATTTTCCATTAGGCGCGCTCAACTGCGTTATGGAGCTCGGACATTGTCACTTTGACCCAACTGTATCTTGAAAACCAAGCCAATTTTTATTGCATTTTTTAGATTCCTCATCGCAAATAAAGGAAAACGGCCAAAGTTTCGTCAAAATCGGCCCATCAATTTTGAGAACGAAGTCAATTCCATAAGTCACATACGAGAGATTCGCTAACGTTTTGCCTTAATAAGTTTTTAGATGAGTTACAGCAGAAAGATCATTCATAGTGTAATTTGAAAGTAATTAAAAGTTATACGCGAAGTAGTATAAAACAACAAAAATGTATAAAGCGCTTCGGCCATCTAGCCGAGGCAATTAAAGCATCAACCTACCGCTTTGGGACCTGGAATCAAATCCAGATATCTCAGGAATATTTTTATGACGGTAAGTTCTTGATATGTCGGATCCCGTTCATCACTACCTGGTCACCAGAAGGCTACTCCGTTGTGGGCCTGTCCATAGAATAGACTAAATAGCATAGCAAGACGGCAAACTCCTATGAGACAAATTGCAACGCATCGATTATCTTGCGCATCCTTCCCACATCAGCAATCGCAGCGGTATTGTCAGGAAATTAAATTTTCCTTATTGTTGTTAATGTAATGGAGTAATGGTAGTGTATTTTATCGGATGTTGAGATGAAAAGAAAATAGACTACAGCTCAAACAAGATACTGCTATGCTGTCAACTGTTCCAGTGCACAAGGAATCGATTTTCAAAAGATGAACAACAGTACGTAATCTTCATATTAATGTTTCTCATCTACTCCATTTTGGTACGAGTAGATTATGACCAATCGAACTTGATAAGATATTGTCAATTCCTGTTGTGCCAAGCGGTCTTCGTACTCTGAACACTGGGAGTTCGGTCGTGGGTTCGCGCCTCGCTCGGACGGGCTGACCACGTGGAGTTTTCCTGGCTTTCTCCACGTTTGTAACGCCTAAATAGGGGCCAGTTTCCTTTAAAAAGACCTCCTGGAAAGCATCCTTCCTAGGCAGATCGCTCAAGTGTTGCGTTGCCATAACTAAACAAACAATTCCTGTTATTCAAAGAAGTATTTTTCATACTTTTATCCAAGTTAATGGCAAACGAAAAAAACTGAGAACGTTAATTTTAATAAAGCAAACTTTTTATTAATTTTATTTATTATTAATACTATCATATTATAAAATCAATTTCCATGAACGCTTGCCGATTTGGTACGGGGGTTTTTAGGAATAATGTTTTAGACGCTTTACATAAAAAAATTTTAGAAAATTTTAAAAATAAATTTAAAGTTTAGAAGTTAATTAATATTAAATCGTGTATTGTTACAATTAATAAATAAATTTTAAAAATTATTTATACATAACTAAGTATTCAGAGGTCGCTGCTGTGCCTCCCGGACGCCATTCTGAAATGGTAAATAGAGAGAGTTAAAATGCCGTTCGAGGAAGATTTTTATTTACCCGAGGAAAGTGAGCTAACAGTTCAAGAAGTTAATATATCCACTCCCTCTTTAAAAGCAGGTGCTTATCATTATGGCTCGTATTGTGATAGGAAGAACAGAGTAAGGAGATTATTTTCAATTTAGCTGTCCATTTAATGTTTAAAGTGACAAAACTATATAAATTTATCGATGTTTTGAATTGTTTGCCGTAGTTGTATTAAATGTGTGTTTATAAAATGTAATGATATTCGTAATAAATATTTAGAGAGGGAAATCAATTTAAAATAATATGTAAATTTGTTTATAATATATATTATATATTGTTACCTTCAAGTCATTCATACCTTTAAGTACTTCCATGGTGGAGGTACTTAAAGGTATGAATGACTTGAAGGTTGGGGCATCCACCTAATGAAAATCCAATCCAGGCAGTCTTTCCACTACCACTAAAAGCATGTCCTTCTGTTATGATTTGTAACAAGTTCCAATCTCCTTCCAGTCAATATATGCCTGCTGTCAGATTCCAGGGGGAAATCTTTGAACAGAACATGAGCCCATTGTTATAGAGTCCAGCCTATGTGATCCCGACACAACTTCGGTGTGTGGATGTTTAAAAGCACAAATACTGCAGGTCGATGGTCTTGTGAAGGACTGCAGTCTTGTGAAGCCTTCTGGTAACAGTTGGGACAGATACCTGCCTTCCTGTGAATGAAACGAGGATAGGAAGCAGAGATGATGCATGTGCCCTACTGTTTCTTTTGGCTAGGAGCCGTATATAATGATTATCTTGTTGTGTTTTCACCCACGGATGACAGAAACAGGTCTTCTCGCAATGGTTCCTATTGTTTGGAATTGTGTCCAAAGCCTAGAGATAACAGAATGATGAATGTTAAAGAATCTCTCCACTTCATTACTTGATTGACCAGTCTACAATCTTCCGACATCTCTCCATCTTTCTGAATCCTGTAAATGTCTTCTTTGAGACATGATTATGTACTGTTTGCACCGTAACAATTCTGTTTTCTGTTCTTTATTGTCTAAGTACCTTTTCTTCAAAAATAGCACTTTCTGGGAAGATGCTGATATTTTTCCCATTGTTCATTTGCATATTTACATAAATTTTGTATAATTTTAAGTGCTAAATGTTAGTTCTCATACAAATTATACATATATACTAATTTTCATTAAACTTTCATGCTATTAAGGCTTTTATTTAGCTTTTTGTAATCTGTACTTAACCTTTGATGAGCTGTATGTATGTGTGAAGCCCTTGGGAATGTATAGTGCTAACCCCTCAGAATCATGTCGCTGAGGTACTGAGTTTGAATGTTCAAAAAAGTCCTAAAATCATACAAATAGTTGTGTGTTAATATTTTTGCTCTCTGAACATTGCCTGTAAAATGTGATTGCCATCTCATTGTTTTCGGATTTTTCAGTTTTGGATTTTTTTCAAACATTCAAATTCAATTATCTCAGAAACATGATTCTGAGGGTTAGCACTATACATCTCTGAGGTCTTCATATATATATAGACATACTGTGTACAAAGTACACTTCTATGGAATGGTGTACAAAGTGTGTTTTTATTTATTTTTGTGAAACATAATAATAAAATTATTCCAATATTAATTTTTATATAACTTATTGCATATATATCTATATAGGTACAATTACACTTCTGAATGAGATGATTGGGACCTTATCATAGCTGTACACCATAGGAGCAAAAAGGTCAAAGGAACCATATTTCTATATGTAACCCTTTACAAGGGGATGTTGGGATCACCCCATGCAGGTGCTGAGGTGCGAGCAACAGCAAACATCAAAGTGCCACGACTAGATGCGGAGCATGGAGAATAGGCAGTATACTGGTTCATGTTAAAAACTGACCTTTGTAGGCAAATACCTTGTGAAGCGGTTGCATGTACAGTACATTTATGGTTCCATTGATGATTTGCTCATACAAGGGGTCTATAACTCTGGGAGTGGCAAATCCTTCCTTCAGAGTTTAAATCTTACCCAATATATATGCATGCAATATTACATAGGCAATATATATTTATTATATAATGTAGACATTTTTTAATTTTAAAGTTAATCCAATAATATGCTTTTTTAATATTAATCTATGAACAACTGTGAGATTGAACACAAATTCTAATACATAGATAGGAAACATTTCAAAACTTTTAATGAAAGTATCACTAAAATTGCTGGCAGAATATGGCATTCTCTAAGTATAACTGAACACATTATAAGAATGAAAAAATTATTCTGAATCCTTTTAAAAAGATTCAGAATAATTAGACAATTATAAGTGCTTGAAACATCAAATAGGACTTGGCTCCCTAGATTCCTGGAGGCCCTGTTTTTATATTAAATGCAAAATGAACATATACAGGGTGTCTCAGTTAAACATTTCAGAACTTCTAAGAAGGGTAGGGTGCATCCCAACAACTCTGAATCATATAGCAATGTGGGGTCGGAAATGCTTTCCTGATGCGGTAGATGGCGTTGCAGGAAAGTTTAGTGTGTTTTTGCAGGGAATTGTCATTTCGCAAAGGACGCGGAGTTAGCCGATATGCATTTGGTGTACAGGCCTGCAGATTGTAGTGGGCCAGCTACACAGCACTTGTGTGCGGAACGATATTCGATGAGGCATATTCCCAGCCATAATATCTTTGCAAGTCTGCACCAGAGGTTAGCTGTTTCTGTGTACATCACCACTTCAGGAAAGCATTTCCAACCCTGCATTGCTATATGATTCCGAGTCATCGGGATACACCCTATCCCTTTTAGAAGTTCTGAAATGTTTAACTGAGACACCCTGTATATAGTAACAATGAAGAAATAGAATGAATAAATTATAAATAATTAAAACACATTAAACATCTCTCACAACTGCCAAGTTCACTTTGCAATAAATATATTTTTCCCAGGATTATTTACATGAATAAATAGTAACAACTACACAAAAAATATTTTGAGTCAATTTATTTATTTTTTTTTTTGTACCCAACCAGAGACAGATGATATACAACACAAAGACAAAACATAAATCATCTTTAAAATGACTGAGATAATATTTATGCAAAAATTGTTTTATTCCTGAATTTCCACCAGGGGACTCTACAGTGGTTTCACCTTTAAATACAACTGAGATCTGACTGATAGTGAAAAAGTTTTTAGTGCTGAGTTTTTATTTGGTGTTGAGTGTGTTCCTGTACATGTTCTTTAAAATGAGATAATAATGAAAAACACGTACAGGAACACACTAGAGTTTGTTGACTGCTTTGCCTTTGATCTGTTAAGTTATGCAGAACCCAATAACTAATAATTTTTTTCATAATCGACACTGTGCAGGATAGCTGTGGATCCTATGTCAAGGATAGCCTATAACATTTGATTGGTATATTGATTATCATTAGTTACAATTTTCCTTATGGCAGGCACATGTTCTGGTACTACTACTGATGCAAGCCTGCCTGTGTGGTAGAGCTGTGATCCCTGTGGAATTCTGCAAACAGTCTGAAGACTGTGCTTCATTGCCAAAAGCTGATTACCTCCAATCACATTGTTCTTGAGTTAATCTGTGTTTAAAATCATAAAAAAAATCACTACTTGATAGCAATTTCATATTAACTCCATATTGTTGCATTTTACACCTTTTTCACCAATTACATAAGAAGTGTTGCAGTCAGTTATTGCTAATTTAAATGTATTGATCATTGGGATTTGCACATTTAATAATTATTTTGAGAAAAGCAAACAGCTTTCTTTAAACTCAAATATTTCACTGTGACTCTTGTATATTAAATATATTAATTAAAATAAAACAAAATAAAATGTAAATAAAACTTTTATGGGTATTATCATTTGAAATGTGAGTATTAATATCCAGATATGTAAAATTAGGCTAAATATAGTAATGGTTATATTAAGATTTCCAATCTTTAAATTTTTAGACACAAAATTTAATATTAAAACCTTCTGGATAACAATCTCATTGTATTCTGGGATGAATTGGAGAAAATTGAGGGCTTAAACATAGGGATAAACTTTGAACAAGAGAAGCAATTTGGATTTATAGAAGTTTAAAATCCAGAGTTAACAAGTGTGTGACTGATATCCTAGAAATGATTATTATTGCCTTACTGTCCTTATTTAATTTCTAGTTTCTTATTTTATATTTTGTATGTTGTTATAATTTCTTATTATATATTTTGTCAATGTGGACATTAATCATTAACAGGACAATTATACTGGTATTAAGCATTTACACAAGAATTGAGGAAAAGTTCTTAAAGAAAACAGATAGGTAGCTTAATAAAGAAAGTCTGTTTTCTTTTAAGAACTTTTTTCTCAATTCTTGTTTAAATGCTTAACACCAGTATAGTTGTCCTGTTAATGATTAATATCCTGGAAATGGCTCATAATCCTGCTAGCTACATGCCATTAGATTGATATAATTTTTGTTTAATAATTTTTTAATGTAAAGTTTTCAAAATCTATAATATTGGAGTCAAGACAAACTGGAAGATCAAATTATAAATACAACACACCTTCCTTTCCAGCAGAAAATAATCTGCTTATAACCTGAAGGCCTATCAAGAAAGCCAAAAACATTTACAAAATAGATTACTTTTTGCTGGAATGGAAGGTGTTGATTTGTGTTTTTCTGCACTAATGTATATTTAGTTTATTTATGTAATGTTATGATTTTTGTGTCAGTTTTTGAGTTATTTTACCTTATGAAATAGTGATGTCATGATTCTCATAACAATATTTCTCAAAATTCTTCAGTTTACATTTATTAATTGTGAATTTTCTGAAAGAAAAGGTCAACCCAGAGCAGGATTTAAATTCTACAACTTTTGCCAACTATCTAGAACATTACCAGTTACATTACATAGATTTCCATATAATCTTTGCATCCAGACCAATTAATTTGAGGTATAACTATATCAGTCATTCACACTGCACTGATTAGACCATCCATGGTTCTCAGCTGATTTACGCATGGTATATAAAAATGTTTGCTTTTATATACATATAATTGATATAAGCTATAGCAGGAAATTTGTACCCAGTGCAGTGAATGACCTGTTTGATTATATATCTCAACTTAATTAGTTTGACAGCAAAGATCAGATACAGAATGGCCTGGATAGTATAACTGGTAATGCTTCACACAAAATTGCTTTATATTAATTATTAAGTTGTGATAATTATTTGCCACAGTGTAGCTGAAAATAATCCAGTATTTAATCAGAAATTGTATTTTTATCAAGTTATTAATGTTTTTCAAATATTTCACCTCTATTCTCAGGCTTGACTAACTTTCAAACTACAATAAAATGTTTACCTTAGAACTGATAGAAATTAGAACATATTTTAATTTCTATTAGTTCTATCAATAGAATAGAGTTAGACAACTAGAGTTTTAAAAAATAATCTTTTAAATTAATTTTAAAATAAATTCTCATATCATAATCTAGGAAACATCGATTTTAACATACACAACTAAAACCCCCTAATCCATTTAAATTAAGCTACAAACTTCAAACTGGTTTATTGCAGACTGCATATACACACAACCAACAAATCAACAACATACAAACAAAATTAGTATAATACACATTTCCAAGACTTCCAGATTGTAAAATCCATTAGTAGCAAATTGTAGAATGAAAGTAACAAGTTGGGTTTTTAGATATTTATATTTGAACAAAAGTGACTTTTAAAATATTGAAAAAGTGTTTATTTTGAATAACATTGTAACTTTACTAATATGTTAGTTTGTTGTTCTGTTAACAGTAGTATACTAGTATAATCTTTTACAGGGTTTGCAACTCTTTGCACACATCCCAACAACTTTTTTTTATCACACAATCCAGAGCTCAACTTAAAAAATAAATATCCAACATTTTTGCTGAATTGCATATTTTAACTTAGTACAATACAATTTTATTGAGTAGAATTATATAAAATAAAAATGCAAAAAGAAACAAACACTATCAACTGATTTATTAAATTAATAATATGAAATAAAAAATGAAACATCCTATTTGCAGACTTCTGTTTCTGCAGTATACTGGCTTAGAGTTTCCAAGTTAACAGAAAATCCATTAAATCTAGCTTACCTATATCATCACCTAGCTGTTAGACCAAATAATAATATGTTCCAAAAATTTCAGTTGTCATGTGAGAAAATTTTGCTTAATAGATATGGCAATTTTGACATGCATACTTCAAAATGTTGCTCATCCTAATCTACCATTAGATTACCTATCATTATGATTTACAGTCTAAATTGATGGATCTATTGTATTTTCATGTCTTAATAATCACTAATTGATAACACTATTATGGCTAGCTCCAGCTTTTCTATTAAAAGGGCTGTAAAAGTTGGCAGCATTAATGCAACCTTACTCCATATTACTTCAGTATTTTTTTTCAATGCTTTTTCTGACAGTACAGTTATTCTATTATTGTTAAATCTTATTTATATCTCTTAATTCATATAACTAATAATCTATACTTGTAACATAGTAACTTCTCTATTACAATTCAATAATGTATAATAAATATTGAATTATAAAGATGCAAAAGTTGGCAATATGGTTTAAAAATTTTAATTGTTTTATCTGATCTATTGTAAAAGTTATTTTTCTAAAAAATTTATTAAAATTTTTCATTTAAAAATATAATAGTTGATCAAGAATATTTAAAAGTGGAAGTTCTAATTTCTTTTAAGTATAATTTTATAAAAATGTTTTTTTAATTTGACTTTTCATTATAATTTGTTGTCATAATGTTTCAAGGATGTTATCATAAGTTTAAAATTTAATGATTAAAGCACCTAATTAAATTATCAATATCTTGTATACTTATTAATAGATCATCATATTAAAAATGAATTTGAAAGAACAGTGAGTAAATCAGGTGGTTTTCTGACTGACTGCATTAACATAGTTATCAAATTATGAATTTTATGAAATGTTTTATTATTTTTAAGGAAGAAAAGTCTTCAAAGTTTTGTTATTACAGTTATAAACTCTTGACTGGATATTAAGATTTTTTTTTCAGTGAGTTGTAATACTTTTTTTTTACATAAACAGCACAAGATTTTAAATATTTTGCTTTTTTAATTTTATAAATGTATGCAAAGTTTGTTTAAGATGGACTTAATAAATACAATTCATTTTTTAAATAAATTAAAAGTCATATAAAAGAAAACTTTTCGTTTTGTTTTCATAAGAACTTAAGTAGAGAATGGTGTAGTTACTATTTTATTGATGGTTTGTAATGGAAATAGTTGATCAATTAGATTTTTGCATTGGATGTATTTAATTAATTAACTACTTTATTTATTAATTTGTTAAACATAAAATATTATGTTTACTGATTTAGTTTAACAATATATATTTTAATTGGTTAGTTTCTAGTACTACATGCATATAATATAACTATTTAAACATTAAAAACATTTTATTATTAAACTTCTATATGAAGATGATCAAAAAGAACTAATGATAATTTTTACTTGCAAATTTAATTATTATTTAACATTTTAAATACAGGAATTTATGCTATGCCGAGCAGAAGAGAAAGACCCAAGAAAATGTTTGAATGAAGGTCGTATAGTGACAGCGTGTGCTTTAGAATTTTTTCAAAAAGTAAAAGAAAACTGTCGGGATTCTTTTGAAAAATATGCCCATTGTTTAGAATGGAATAGTGCTGATATGAATTTTGAACCGTAAGTTGTTTTTTTTTTTTTTTTTTAATACTTAAGATAATTGGTATTTTTATAGATATTTAGAATTGCATAAAAATGTTTTAGTATCTTATTCAATATCTTCTGGTTGAAAATAGATGATAAAGTCAAATATTTATGCCATTATCATCATTAAAATATCGTTAAAAATTCTTATTAAACTTTCATATTGAAGTCATTTTTAGCTATATTCAGTTAAATGTGTTTTCAGAATGTTAGCTTTGTCTCATTTTAAGATAATGTATGAACTGAACAGTAATATGAAAAACTAAAGTACATAAATTTTAAAAATTTTAATCATCTGAAATGTTTTTCTTCTTTCGATCATAAACTGTCAGCTGTTTTCCAAAATTCTTACTTTAGTACTTCTGCTTTTTGAATTTGAGTTATTAAATTTTTTAAAATTAAAAACAAAAATGTTAAAATTGCAGATATCCAATAGTTTAATATTTAAATCATTTTTAAAAGTTGAAATAAGAAAATTGAAAATTTTATTACTTGACAATTCATGTATTTTTTAATTTTATTTTTAGTTTGCTTTTGTTGTTTAGATCTGTTTCCATTCTTTAATATGTTGCTGCTTTTCGTTTGCTTTTGGCACTAGTGCTTTAAATAATTTCATGACGAGAGTTTGTTTTATAAATTTTATGGAAATTATTAAAGCATCTCAGTTGGAAGAAATTATAAGTGCATTCATATTACATAAAATTCATGCCTAATTTTGGTTTCTAAATGCTACATTTTAGCACACTTTATATTAATAAAAATCATCACACTTTCTGCTTAAGGATTTGATTACTTTGACAAATTGTATAAACTTTCATTTTTTTTTTAAATAAATGTATGTTGTGTATTTTTATTCAAAGTTCAATAACAAATATGCTGAAACAAATTAAAATAAACTTTTAAAATGATAACTAGTAGTATGCTTTTCAGAAATATTTTGAAAATTTTCCTTAAATGCCTACATTAGATATTTTTTTCATACTTTTATCAAATTTATTTATTTTAGTCCATGCATCAAAGTAATTTTTAAAAACTTACGTATGAACACACCATATATTTTGTTTTAAATCTCCTGCCTAGAATAACATATAATTAAGTTTTACTATTTTCCTCATTTGAAAGATTTTCTGAACAACTAGTATGGCTCCATTTTTGAATTTAAACCTTTTTTTTTAATCTAAAATCTTTGGAAAAATTCAGTATATTTTTTTTAAGTTATTATATAGCAGTTTTTATTTTATAGCAAGTTAATATCTTAAAACAAGTACACATTATAGAGATTAGTTGCAAAAAATTAGAATAATAATCCTTTTGTAACATTAATTTCACATACAAGTGATAATAGAAGCTGCAAGACAAGTCTTCAGCTAAGATATGAATACTTATCTGGCAGCTTATCATGCTGTACTGAAATGAATGATTAAAATTATTAACAACTATTGTATTTACTTGCATATTTAATTTTGTGGGTTATGTTTTACTTTTTTTTATCCTATGGGCACTAAGAGTGCTGTTTTTTTCAAGCCCATTGTGAGTTCAGCCAGGTGTTGAGGGACAGGGTCCAATATATTCAGGACAGGTCAACCTGAAAAAGTTATGGGATTTTTTCCAATCACTTGGATTTTTGATTCCTCATTCTTTAGATCAATAGACTGATGCCTTGACCATCTCAGCCATCTAGTCAGGTTAATTCTGTAATTTGGATTATTTGTTTTCTCAGGCTAATATGAAATAGTGATCATAAAAGTTTGGAAGCTCTGTAACAGATCACGATGTTCTGTTATGTATTACAGTATTCAACTTCATTCCTAATCCTACATTTTATTAAAATCATTTAAAATGAATTCACTCATTGTTCAATGTATACTATGTGATCATCAATTTTCATACTTAGAGCAGAAATGGGATATTTTTGCTTCAATAATATTTAAAAATTTTCATTGGATGAAGTTTATAAATTTTGGTAAAATGTTTGAATAATCAAACTATAAAGTAATGAAATTACAAGTTTATTTTCACTGTCTCATCTTTTCCTCTTAGGAATATTTTTATATTTGTTTGTTAATTTGTTATGTAAATTAGCCTATAGATGTGAAACTAAAACAACAGATTTTGAAATAAAATTTCTGAAGTGTGTTCATTATGTTTACTCATAACTCCTTGGTATAACGTTTATTAAAATAGAACTATTCTAAAATATTTTTAGAATCTGTGTTTTAATTTGAATATTTATAACATAAATTATGAAAAATGTAGAGATTTAAATTAAATTTCCCAAACATAAAATGAACTTCATGGCATTAAGCACAAAATAAATTTTATAGTGTAATAACTTTAATTATGTTACACTATAATGTTTATTTTGTGTTTGGAAGTACTAAAATAGAGACAAAGATGGATTATATTGGATTAGGTTGGATTAAGCAATTTTTCCAATAAATTACTTTTAATTGTCTAATGTAGATTTAGACAATTTACAATTTACTGTAAAGATTATTTAATTCTAAAAATATTTCTCCATTTTATTGCATTTTATGTTGATAATTATTGGATAAATCCAAAATAAATTATTGTTAAAACAGAAAGTTATTATACATAATTAATGATTTTATTTTTTAAAACATTATTATGAGACAAAGGCACATTAAATTGTGTGATTATATTTATTTTTCCACTGGTAAATAGTAAAAAAATTACAAAAAGTCAATTTAAAAGCACTGATTTGTTGTTTAATAATTCAGTGCATTTAAATTGACTTTTTGTAATAATTATTTTACTTTGAGAAGGTTTTTTTATAATCAGAATACTTATCAATACCGCAAAAGTTGAAAAAAAATAAATAAAAAAACCAACGAAACATTATTGGAGTCAAAATGGAAAAAACAAGCAAATGTTGTTTAGTGCTTTCAATTCTCTTAAGTTTATCTTCAGGGAATAAAATAAAAACATAATATATATAAAAATTTAACTTCACTTGAACAAAACATTCTCAATTACTTTTTTATATTTTGTATGTTCTTGATTTTTATCCCCTGAAGATGGACTTTAGTGGTTTGAAAGTATTGGAAGACTAATTTTTTATTTTTATTTTAACTCCTACAAATGTATTTTTTATTTTATTTATAATTTACATGAATATACTTTTATAGCTAATTTGTTATAATACATAAACAAAAATGGTTCCATAATTAAATATTATTTAATCATTTTTATGAAAATTTTTTTTCAGTTGTAAAAAAACTCAAGCAAGATTTGATATGTGCATGCTTGAAAAATTAGACTTACCAAGACCAGAACTGGGATATCTTTCCAGAACCTATGCACACGAAACCAACCGACCAAAACCACCTCCGAAGAATCTGAGAGAATATAATGATCCTACCCCCGGTTTACCTGATGATTATCCTAAACAAGAGCCTAAATATGGTAGCCGACTCTTTTTCACTTAACGAACCAATAATGTTAGGATCTTAATAAGGATATCTTAGCATAGATATCATTTGTTATTAGTCTATAAAATATTAATGTTAAATATAGTGATTGTAGTTTCACATATATTTCACAAAGAAATAAAAATTATATGTAAATTATAGTTTGTTTTTTTTTTTCTTGATTATACTGATATATCTATCAACTTCCAAAAAATAATGGAATTATAATGGTTATAATTTTTTACAGAAAGTTATAACATAACTTACTTCCCATTTGACATTATTTTATACTATAAAATTTAATATAGCGTAAATGTATTAAAAAATAAAAATTTTCTATTTTTAATTGAAAACCTCAAAAAGATCTTTGTAATAATATGGAAAACTGACACTGTCTCCAGCAAAGTAATTAAATTCTACCATGAAATTGCTTATGATAAGTTGATCTACTTATTCGAATGCATTCTATGAATACATTATATTGCAATTGTATTAAAAATAAACGCTAGTAACAAGAGGAACAATGTAATGATGTGTACTAATCTTAAATATAGATTAGGTTTATTGGATTTGGGTAACAAACTGCATTTTTAATGAGAATGAAAGAATTATTAGAAGTGAAACACAGACCTGCCATTCATTAGTATGATCAGAGAGAATTTTCTTAGCACTCAGAACCAGTATGGTGGAGTCTGTAAACAAATAGTCTGACCCCAACTTCTCTCTTTCCCTTTTTTAAAATGCCATATTATCTTTCATTTTGTAAGAAAGACAACTGGATATATTTATCTATAAAAAGTCATACTAAAATGTATGGAGAAAATTTAAAACGTGGATATAACGAATTTACCTTAGAAAAGCTTTCGAGTACATAAAGAAACATACTACATCTTAACTGCAAAAACAATTCTACCTTTATTAGTTAATTATCAAAAATTGATTTAATTTTAATCATCTTTAATACATTTAATCATCATGGTTTTACTTTTTTTTTCATTGTTTTTCTATTGACTGTTTTAAAAGATCAAATTATGGTATGAAAGCAATAATAAATAGTCATAACTTGCAACCAATAGAAAGGCAGTGAAAAAATTAGTAAAAAAACAGTTGTTTTGGATATTAAACTGTTGCGCCAAGTAAAAATTATGGCATTTGAAATGAGTGTCAATTTTTTTTAGAGTTCTCTTTGGTAAAGACAAGCTTGGCGTTTCGTTAAGCTTTTTATTGTTGTCTCTGCACTTCGGGTTTTTTCTTTAGTAACATGGTGAAAGTGAAAGCTTCTCTGTATCTTCCGTCTCCTCAAGTCGATTCCTTGAGTAAGCTGGCCCGAGATGATCGAATTGCAGGTTCCTTGGAAATAGTGATACATCTCTACACAACTCAATTCGGTATATATAGTTTATTTACAGGAAATGTACACATCTTATCACGTAACTACAATGTACTGAATGGCACAAGTAAGATCAAGGATAGTCTGGAAAAATTGGAAATCGGGTGTCTCCTTGATAGTTTCTGAGACTCCGTCTGCACTTTTCATCTGATTACAAATCTCAACTGTACCTGAGCGTTCTTTCTGGAAGAGTATAACGGTTTAGTTTGTTTATTTACGGCAACACGACACGTACGCGATCTGCGAGGAGGGATTCCACCCGGGAGAACGTTGTATGGGAAACTGGTCCTTATTTAGGTATTACTAACTTGAAGAAAACCCACGTGGTTAGCCCGTTAGCCAGACGCGAACCCATCACCAACTACCAGTGTTCGGTGGTCCACTCGGCCATTGGTAGGCCCGGAGGAGTAAAACCTCTCTCCCTGTACTCAGAGGGCTTGCTGAGTACCTAAGAACCAAGTGCTATCATCTCCGAGCCTTATCATCCACACTTTTCTCTCCGATCCTCTCTTCAATTTAAATGTTTTATGGGAGCCAACAATCAGAAAGCTGTGGTCGCCAGAAGAAGCTTTTTCCACATACCTGTGATCTAAATGTGGATGGTCATCCCACTTTATTTATTTATTTATTTTTTTTTGTTGTTTTTCTGCAGCTGTAAGTGGTTTATGACCAGACCACACCTGAGTCAAATTTAACAAATTACAAGCCTCCCTTGTTTTTCTCTCCACTCCCAAATAATTTACGGTGAAGCTTTCGAGAACCAATTGCAAAGAAGGCATTATTTTGCCTTCTTTGCAATTGGTTCTCTGGAACGTCTGGGAGCTTCCCAGACGTTCCAGACCACCGCCATGAAGGATCCGAGATTGAATTCCCGTCGAGACAGCTGCAAAAAAATTTCCACGTGAATCCATCGGTGCGTCATTCTCCATCTTAGATCCGTACTGCACCATTAGCTAAGTGGATTCGATCCCTAATCACTGGTATTAGGCTCGGGTTCGTACTCAAGCCGACGGGCTGGCTCGTGAAGTTTTCGGGTTTTCTTCACGTCATTAACGCCCGAATAGGGGCCAGTTTCTCTTAAAAGTCTTCCCGAAAGGCACATTCCACGATTGCAGATCATCCTCGTTTTTGCGTGACCGAATCTAAACAATACACTGGCAAATCGAAAAAAAATCATTTGCTTTTTTAATGTCTCATAAGTTGCTAAGTTTCATTTTTTTCACGTTGCATACGAGCCACTTAATAATAATAATAATATATGAATATTAAGGTACTGTATTCAAATACAAAGTCAGTCAAGTATCTTTTTAATGTCTAAATTTATCGAAGTGTCCGTTTTCTAAGAAATTTCTTTATAAACTAATTAAAAAGTATTTTTACGTACTTCTCATTTGACCAATAGTAAAACTTGAGGTCGGAATCGAAAGAATTTTACCGATTCCGACTCCATAACACTTCAGCTTGTATCTGTTTGAATCACATTAAGTGAACGACAAGGATCAATAATGCTTAAAGATAAATACGAAAATTTCCCATAAAAACAGCATCATCTATTGATTTTTAAAGAATAGATGCAAAGTAACAATGTAATTTTTTCTTCCTTATCCTAACTTTTCTATCAACCAGATGTCGTCGTCTTTGCTTCCAGATTTTAGTCTTTAAACTGTCACTGTGTTTTGTTTTTATAGGTTAATCTTAGTATTTAGTAAAGTTTATTTAAACATTTTAGGTAAGTGTTGTTAAACTTTTTTTAAACGTAGATAAGTAAACATTTCGTAAAAATGACGAACGAAATACAGAAGTATCTCGGTACTCGAACTGTTCCTAACTCCAACGATTCGGTATTCGAATACAAATTCTGGAAAGAAAATCGTTCGATACGCGACTGAACAAACTCAATCCTCTAGAACAAATTTTAAATTAATAACATTGGAGCCTAACCGCATGTTTTGCATTAGTGTTTTGTTTTGTATAGCACGGATTCGCATAACACGACACTTTTTCGGAACGTATCTACCGTGTTATACGAAGGATACCTGTATTTCGTTACAATGCACTTAAGTTTAGTAATGTCTTGCCCATGTACATCATACTTTTCCTGTTACTAATGGAGTCATGGCGGTCATGTAACTAACTCTGTTCAGGAGAAAATTTTTAAATTAAAATAACATGACTTTTCATTTGAAATCAGCATTTTACATTTGTGAATTATGTACAGTATCAATTAATTAATTAATGCCGCATATCTGAATTAATTAATTAATTAATTAATTCAGATACGCGGCAGTACGCCATTGTATATATTAATTTAATCATAGTTTTAGAATATTTCCCTTTGTTCTTTGTTCCTTCTCGCTTCTAGAACTTTTTTCCCTAACTCTTTTCCCTTGAGTGACGAGGACCGATTCGTGCAACTTTAGAAAACAAAAAAGGAAAGAGGACTTGAAGGTACGAGTGACAGGGAATGGGACATTCTTTCGACTGGACTTCAGAGTGGACGGATGTGGAAGATGGTGCTCCGTGTCGTCGAGAGTAGCTAGGCTGGAGGAATAGTGCTAGCCTGATAAGAAGTTGAATTTTATAGTAGTCACGATAAAAGGAGTATCGACTAGGTATAAAGGATAACCAAAGGAAGACGACGACGAGCCATCAGTCCGAGCGGGTTCCACGTGGCCTCCTACCGAAGTTGTGCAAAATTCCGTACATTCCGGGTATTTCATTCATTCCTATAATCTATTTCACTACTTATCACTCTCCTTTTTACTTTCCCTCTTCCCTTAGTTTAAATTAGTTTGTAAGTACTAGTTACAGTCTCTCCCGATATCATTTTATAGTTATATGTCGTAATACTATGGTATTCAAATTTGTCATAGAAATCTACCCGTCATATTTCATATAAGATAATTATGCTACTGGATCACTATCAGTAACTGGTGCAGTTACCTTAATGATTTTTATGTGATGAGAATAGAAGATAGCATCCATTTCAATAGAAATTGACTATATCCAAATGGTTCCTTTGGAGAGCAGATAAGAGTAATCTGATTTCTAAATTACTAATATTTAAAAAAGTTTATAGTTATTATAGAGGCGGCGTTTGGAAGATATCAAGTTGACATAAAAATGGAATTATTTAATGTAAAAATTTTGCACATCTTGAAAGCCTGAAGAATGTCGATGGATGTAAAACAATCGTCATATTGCCTACCGCTCTGGAGGACCCGGGAACGAATCTATGCGCTGAAAATTCCCATGAATTTTTAGGAATGGTCCATCCTTCATCATCCGGCCTCCTCGTTGTGGGCCTGGAGGAATCTACCATGAGCTTGATAAAAAAAGCTCCTGTTACTGCCGCGTTTTTTGCTTTTTGATTCGGCTACTTAATAATTAATTGTACGAATTTTGAACGTTAAAAAATAACTTAATGAACAGCAATTTCCCGAAATTAGGTAAGAAATTGGTTTGACAGTGTTGCACGCTAGCGGGTGATTCGAAGTTATAATCGTATTCATTACGTTAGTAGCAAAAAATCGCTGGACACGTTTCTACTGCATTGTTTTGTAACTTTTAATATGAAAATAACTGATCACACTTGGTCATAGATTACTGTAAAGGGACCCATATTAGACAAATATTAGTCACTGACCGGATTCGATTCTGGGTCTCCAGAGAGCGGTAGAATAAAACCTATTGTAATATGAACTGTTATTTATTTTGCCGGACGTGCGAAATTAACTGCTGATTTACCAGTTGTCTTTACTTAAAAATACG